TCTTTCTTTCTATCTATCTATCTAGTTCCTAACACTAAATTGAAGCTAAATACAGTAAATACATAAATAAATAGCTCCATATAAAAGAGTAGAAAAGAAATAAAAAGTACAAAAAGACAAAATTATTATAAGGTCTCAGATATTATACTATATGGACATTCAGCTATCATTCAGATTAGCTGTACTTTCAGAGTGGTGTAGATTTCTAACTTTTTACATCAAAATGTTTACAATTTTAAGATATTTACTGCAGCATCCAGGTGGAAGGGGATTATAACTTGAACCTCAAATAAATATTTAAATATTTGTTGAGTTAAATATTAAAAAGATGTTAAAGGTGACTATGAAAGCAGAGAGGATTTTCAGGCAATAAACCATTTCCAGACATTTCTGGTTCATAACTGCAAAAAACTATGGTGAGAAAACTTTTGGACGCGTACAATCTGATTTGCTTTCAAAGTGTATCTAAATGACAGTGTTGGTTTCCACTTCAAACCAAGAGGCTGTTCAAATCAGTGATGAATAATATGAGAATTTTCAATCAGCTGGGTAACAAAGCACTTCTGGCAGCTGTCCTTTGTGACTTTACCTAGACGTGCTATTAAGGTTTCCACTGGCAGAATACAAACTAGCAGAAAGGAAAAACAAAAACAAAATCAGTCTGCTTCCCAGTTATTGTGATTCTGGTCATTTGAGCACATGAGCCACGCCCGACTCCTGCACTGATTCATGAAGGAAACAAACGGCTCATCCACAGACATGGAGATTATTGATCTGATGGTCTCATTTTCATGAAATACAAGACAGTGATGAATTATTAACATATTTGGCTTTTGTTTGTCTGCCTTGTGTCTTCAAGACGGCTCATTAATAACCAGACTGGATGCTAAGTTTACATTAAATTGCGATAGCAGACAGTAGGAAAATATTGTCAATTTTGTAAAAACTAAATGATGATAATATGGAGAGTATCAGGCGGTGTCCAGAAGGTTGTCACATCAGTTATGAAAATATGAGTGCCAACTGCTGCTTTCCTGCTTGCAAAACTCTGGGGATCTTAATGATTTTGCCTTGTTTACAGGAAAACACTGTTGTTTTTCTCTTCCCGCCATAAGATCTCTGATTGCACACAGACAAAACAACAGCTCTGTCTGGACAAACTCACTGAAAGCGTTACCTAAATCATATTTTTCTCTCAAGTGTCTCATTTGCATTCTGCTGAAAGTTTGAGGCCCCTCATCTTCCAGATAGTTCCATTTATTCCTTTGACAGATAAAAAATTCTGAAGTCCTGCTGAGGTGTTTCCATTTGCTACGCTAACCTGCGCTCAGTGGATCGACCACTCATCCATGATTTGTGAAAGCAATTGACTTTCAGTTGAAGCTGTCTCCCCTTCTTCAGCCAGAATAGGCACAAAGCTCTTATAGAATCTGTATTTTGATGTAATCACCACTATCCAAGGTTTGCTGATGGCGTTTAATAAGACTGAGTAACAGAAATTATGCAAGATAACTATAGCCAACAAGTTAAAAAGTCTTACTATTTGCTTCTCTCATCAGTTGAAGTGACTTAAACCTGAATTCCTTTTAATGGCCTGCTGGGGGCCAAACAATATATTTGCATCTTTAAATTAACATAGAAAATGTGCTTTTAAAAAAATTTACACACTATTTTGTTGGCAAGTCAAACATTTTTCAGGGGGGTGTGCTTGCGCTGAGGGAAATTATGATTCAAGACCATGTGATACCAGCTACAAAATTAACTAAACCTATAAATACTGAGCTTCAGGACAGCTTTTGCATTTGCTGTCCTAAACATGCCATGTCTGGTACAAATCCTCCCATCAGAAATTGTGTATTTTACTTGTTTGTCTGAAATAAACAGAAAAAGAACTTCTGCAGCTTTTAAAACATTGTTTCTTGTTATTGCAGCTCTTATTGTCTCCTTTCATCAAGTCTTCCACATTAGAGAAAATACAGTAATTATCTGATAGAGTAGCGTCAAGGGGAGATGAAACAGAAATATGTAATGTTTAAGAAATCATCCTGATCAAGCGTGTTGCCTTTGATGTGAGTTGAAAAGGGGAAACGTAATACCCCCAGACTCTCACTAAATGAGGTGACCCAGTTGCTTCTTGATTACTGTAGCTTGTAAAAATACTGATCATAAGAGATGATAATTACACATTATTGTAGGGCATAACCATTTCCGGGTAAGTATGCAACTGTGATGTGTAATACTTGTATTTATATTCATTACCTACACTCACCAAAAGCTTATGAAAGCCTCCAAATATTCATCACAATCTTTTTTACAGAGCCTGCATATTGTACAGAACCAATGTTTTTAATCAGACGGCCCTTTTCACCGACTCTGCTTCATTTTTGCGCCACAAATGAGAGGGGATGAAGCATTACCCATGGGAGCACCACATGAATCAGGCTCCCCATTGAACAGTGTTAATACTGATTAATGAAAGAGCATTGCAAATGGAAAAGCTGTGCAGCAGCAACCAACGATAATACACGCCCAAATTCTCAGAATCTCTGTGAGCCCTGCTGCTGCTGCTACACAGGGAAAGTGGAGAGGCAGTGTGAGCCACTTCAGCTAAGACAGAGCTATTACTTACTCATTCCACACAGATGCCTTCTGCCATGGCAACACCTATTAGACTCTGCTTTGGCTGATGGACTGCTAAACAGGAGAGCTTTTGGTCAACACATTTCAGGCCAGATTTCTTAGCTGCCTGTTTGCTCTCCCCGGGGTTATCACATTTTGTCTTGTATTTAGTGGTAAAATAAGCACTGTCCCACAGCATGAAATGGCCACAGCAACACCCAATTAATCAGTAATCAATACCAAAATGACTTCATCATCTGTGATTTTGTAGTCTACTTTCAATACCTATTTTTCAGCCAGTACAGATGTTAAAAGAAAAACTCACAAATCACATTCTGCTAACCTGCAAAACCTTTAAATCTCTTTTCAATATTTGACTCTGAGTCTTTGCTCTAGTTACAGCTTCCTTGTCTCTTCTTTGCAACCTGCGGTGCTTTCATGGTGCGCTTGTACTCAAGAATTTGGATTGCTGTCCACTGGACACACAGAGGCCCATCTCCTCATGACCTATTTATGACATTTACTGCCAGAAATCATGTCAACTGCCATGCCACACACTGTAATTTCATCTAATTGGCTGCTGTTAATAAATAAAATATGCAAACCAGGATTAAATCAAATCATAGTTCCCAAGACTTTAATTTTTCTTTAATGGCCCTTTTAAAGAGTATTTATTGAACACATTTCAAGAGAATGTCCCCACAGGCAGAGCAGTCACAAAACTGGAATTTTTCCACAGCATAATGAGGCCGACTGTGAAAAATTCATATTTAGGCTTTAATCACTTTAAATCTCTACGATGAAATAAAGTTTTAATAGTCTAGATTACGTATGTGCAATGTATATGATTGATCGGTATGTCAGTTACAAAAGGGCCGTCCATCAGATGCATCGAACAGACAGTGTGTGACTTATACTGAAGATGAACTCAAAATACAGTCTAATGTGATCAGATTTGAATATATATAACTGTAAAATGGCCAGTTTGAGATTAAAAAGAAAGTTTTTAATTGTCCCAATGCACATAGGCTGGCTCAAAGGTTTAGCACAGGTTGCAGTGAGTATGATGGTTTTTGGCAACAGTGCTGCATTCAGCAGCAGTTTGAGAACATGCTAAATATGATTTAATTATGAGTACTTCCAGGCCTTAGGCTTCCAGGCCAGCTGAAACCGACTGGTGGCTGTCTATCAAAACACAGCTGTACAACCATTTCACAGCTGCCTATGTTATTAATGTCACATCACTGAATTGCCCTGTGGAGGAAAATGTGAAACTGGACACTAACCTGTGAAGTTTCCTCAGCAAGTACATTTTCTCTC